TTTTGCAGTTTACAACAAATTTTTCACAAAGCAAAGTTATGATAAACAGAAGGGCACAAAATGTTGTTTTAAAGAGTTAAGTGTTAGTTTTCTCCAAAGCTTAGAATAAAATAAGCCAATTCTATTTCCTACCTCCAACATTTAATACTACAATGACCTAAAAGATGAATTTTGTCACCTGCATTTGCATGAGGCACTGCCAGTGACAAGCAGTTCAGTCTAACCTTGCCTACTAGCTCTGTGGTCCATGCTTTATCTGCTACCCAGCACTTCTGTCCACGAGGTTTTCAACTTCAGACAGTATTTCCTAGGCACTCACATAACAGAGTAAACCAGATAGTTCATCTGACACGTATTACCGAGGAAGGAGAGGAACTGGCACCCACATAGCGCCGGCTGCTCCACTAAGTGTCTAACCAGCAGCATCTCAGGTGTGTCCCAAACAAGTCTGATATGCCGGTCCCAATTTCACTATCTTAGAGAGGAGAAAACTGGGAGTCAGAAAGGACATGACTTGGCTAATATCATACAGGTGGTATTCAGGGGAGCCACAAATCCAGGTAGATCTGTTTGCTGGCAAAGTCGATTCACTTCTTATTAAAACACAATGTTTCTCAAGAGTGCATCCAGAAGAACGTGTAATACCCTAATCATCCAGTGCCACTTATCGTCTTCATCATCATCATCACAATCCTCAGATAGGAAAGATGATGGCACATATGGAGGTGATAAAACCAATTGGCAGGGTTGAGCAGCAAAAGAATTTGTTGATCTTGCCTAAATTCACTTCTTCAGAATGTCATATAGTTGAATGTGCATCTAAAAATAAAATGCATCCTGTCAATAAGAAAAGATTACAAATAGTCATATTTGATATTGGTAAGGGAAAGGTGACACAGCCACTTTCACATACTGCTTCTAGTAATATTAATTGTTACAACGTAGTGGAAAAGCAATTGGTAATTTGTATCACAAACCTGAAAAACCATAGACACTTCATCCAGGCAGTTGTATTTCTAGAGATGTGTTTTACATAAATTATCAAATGTTTATAGATATATTTATGCATATATATGCTTAAGCATCTTTACCTGAAATATAGTATCAAAAATAGGCATATTCCTAATAGTTCAACATTGACAGAATGTTTAAATAAATTCTGGGCCAGCCCGGTGGCGCACTGCTACAGTGCGCCGCTTGGCAGCGCAGCGGCGCTCCCGCCGAGGGTTCAGATCCCACATAGAGACCAGTTCCCGCTCACTGGCTGAGCGAGGTGCGGGCGCAACACCGAGGGTTGCGATCCCATTGCCGGTCCCGGTCCGGTACAGGTGCGACACTGAGGGTTGCGATCCGTTGCCGGACACGAAAAAAGACAAAAAGGAAAAAATAAATAAATAAATAAATAAATAAATAAATAAATTCCAACAATGTATTAAAAATAAACGATGTCAGTACAAAGAAATAATTTCAATACTTTGGGAAATTATCATGATGTCATTTTAGACCCATAAAATAGAAAATTAAAATTCTGTACACAATATATTTCCGTATTTTCAAATAGAACAATAAAAAATGCACATATGTCTAGAAAGCATTGATAAAACTTCAAGTATATATTACCATGTTTATTTTGAGGTTGTGGGGTTACAGATTATTTTTACTTTCTTCTGTACACTGTCCTGTATTTTCGACTGTATCTACATATCTTTTACTTCTATATATTTATTACATATTCATAAAGATGTAAAAAAATCTTAAAGAGACATAAAGATCATCTTTTTCTGAAAGTTGATTTTTAGCCTGGGTGTTACTTCCATTGTAAATGTTACATTTCTAATTTGCATGAGATTGAACTCTCTCAGAACTAATCAAATCAACTTTATCAGCTATTTCTAAGAATCCTTAATCATCTTTATATCAGAGCTCTATTAGACCTTCAACATGGTCCTAACATTGTTAAATTATCACTTCCTTCCTGCAAGTTATCTACTATCTTAATTTGGGCAACATTGTTTCTGGCTTTCAATCTCAACACCCCATATGAGATGCGTGACCTGGAGCAAGTTACAACTCTAAGTCTCAGCTTTTATAATCTCTACGTGAAAATAATATGAGAACCTACCTCGTAGCATTGTTGTTTAGGCTGAGGTCTGAATAATGCAAGAAAAGGATCTGCAAATAGCAGGAAGTTATTACACATTATTAGTCATTGTTGATTATATTCCTCATTATGCCAGGCACAAGGGCTTTCAAAAATGAGTCCCTAAGGATGATAACATCGAATTGAACTCTAAATGACAGTGGCACTCGGGATGTTATGAGTGAGCTTAAGATTGGAGAAAACACAAGACAGAGCAGGAAAAGATGAACTGCCCTTTAACTTGACTTGACCTAAATGCAAAGAAATGAGAATAGAGTGGCTGGAAAAACAGAGAGATTTTCACTGGGACACCTCAAGGGCTCCTTGGACTCTCCCATGGAAGACTGTGAATCATCTAAATGTCAACACAATATCTTTTCTTTCCTATTGCAGTATCCGCACCATCCTGACATTTTGAGACCGTACAGATGTCTACCCTTGTGGTATCTTCTGCCTCCTGCATCCTGTGTCACGTGGAACACCAACCGGTCAACCTCATTAACTCTGTTCTTCAGAGATGCCATCAATCGATCAATCAATCAATTAATCAATAACATGCATAACATGGGGGCTTTCCAGAAGAAACCAATGTTGATGTGAAATCATTTTCATTCAGACATTAAATCCAAACCAGATAGCTCTTTCAATAAGGTGCTGAATATCACCTGGGGAATTGAAGTCAATAAACTTTCCTTCTTAATCATTCTACT